TTAAACAAATGCTATTCTTTTGAACTTCCTATTCATCAAAAAATCCTGAAAAATATTATCATGGTGTTTCAAAATAATAAAAAATAATAATAATATTCATCCTTTCTGAAGGATCATGTGTTAATGAAGACTGTAGTGATGGCTGCTGAAAATTCAGCTTTGCTATCACAGGAATACGTTATATTTAACAATATATTTATATAGAAAAGTTATTTTAAATTGTAAAAAATATTTCACAGTATTATTGTTTTTACTGGATATTTGATCTTGAAATCTTACCGACCCCAAGCTCTCCCAACCCCCATTTCTGTTTAGCAGTTGTGTTAGGTTTGTTGCACGTTGCCTTAGTCTTTCAAAGTTTAGGCTACAGAACATGGCACACTAAATGTGCTACACAAACCGGGAGTGGAGGGTTGATAAATAATTCAGAGAAACGTGTAAAGAAGGTTGTTGTATTCCACATTAACAGTAATGCTTAACAACCGTAATATGCATTGTACATCCCAAGGTTACTCGGCTGATGATTGCTACCATGGTGTAGAAAAGCATGTAGAAGGACTGGAGTAATTGACCTTCTTTGCACAATAAGACCCATCGCATAAAGATCTACATTGTGGCCTGCAACATATGCTACTGTACAACTCAACCTCATTCACAAGTTAAACCGTTCCCCTTAAGAAATTGCACTTGGGAATGTAAGAGAATTTTGAATATTGTATAACTATTTCTATACCTTTTTAATGTCTGCTTGTAAGAGGTGTGAATTATTTACAGTAGAAGCCAGAGGAACTGAGAATGGCCCTTTCAAAGTGGTCAGTCCAATCTGGAGGAAACTGTCAGAGGCAATTGGCTAACTCTGTTTAACAATGTCAATGTATATGAATGCTATTTTCATCCCCCCCCCCCACCCCACCCCACCCACCACCCTGCCCCGCCACCTCAAATATACTTCCAGCTTCCAAAGTTCAATATTACACAACAAGAGACTGTCAGTATGTGTGACCATATGGTACATTTTAGATGTAGAAAAATGCAGCCATCAAAATTGTATTAAACTATTAAAGTATGTACTATTTCTAAAGTAAAAAGAGGTGCTTGACCTTTGTTTCTGAAGGGTCCAGTCTTCATAGCAATGTTTGAACCAATGTACAATGAAAGTAAAGCAGTCTGTTGTGGCCAGATAAGCAGAATGCATTTGATTATTCTGTCAGTGTTAGTAAGCAATTCTTCTATGGACAGATGGGATATTGAAGCTAAAAAATACTTAAATATTAGCAGCTCGGATTAACACTGGAAAAGCAGAGAATGGAAGCATTTAGCTTAAGTGTGTGATACTATCAGCTGACCACTTAGTCGACTGTCTGTGACAGATATGAACCTGGAATTAATGGAGAGGGTGCATATGAAATATGAAACAGAGAGCCATCACACAGGGTATAAATAATATAAATATCAGAAAAATATCCATATCTATCCAATCAAAACATGCTGACATTAGATACAACAGTTGACAGACAGTTGTACTGAATTACATGAACTAAAAGCATATCGACCTCTTAGATGTCTTACTATCGGAGCCCTCTTTTTCATTTCGGCCTAAGTGGCCTGTTGGGATGCTGTAATATAGTACATTAGTCTCACCGTACAATAAAACATTTATTAGTCTTTCCAGTTAGCATCTTCATCAAAGTTGATTGAGGTGTAATTCTTATTGACTTTGAAAAGGAAGACGAGTTCAGGTATTTTAAAATTTGCATCTCTGTTCACCAATACGTAACAGCGCCCTTCTTATTTTCTCTATTTGATTATAAAATCAGTGCAAGTAGTGTAAAGCTAACCTGAAAGTCCACACTCTTCAAATGACATGTCTTGTTAAACATATCCTTTGATCAGGCAAATGCAACAAGGGGAAAAAAAAAGAAAACAGTTGTCATGTGAACACCAAGAGCAACATTAATTGAATAGGAGAGTGATATGAGTTAAGCATATTTGAAGTTGAAAAGAACAGGAAAAACATGTTGCCACTAAGAGGCAGAGTGCAAAGAAGGTCTGTTAACTTTTTTTTGCACATCCTGCACGTGTTAGAAAATACAAAAGACCTAACTGTTGTTCCATGCTTAAAAGGTAAATGACCACTCCAGACTTCCATGCTCAACTTGAACGACAACTACAACCTTACGAATTAATGTGAACCTCGTAAAATGCATTAAAGACTCGCTGGAAATGATATAGGCAGATACAAATTCCATGAAATCAAGGCACCTCTATCCAGATTACCATTGCTGATTGTGGGGGTAAATCTACAGAATTCTGTAGAATGGTTTAATTGCAGCAAACATCAAAAGTATGTATTTTTCTTCACAAAAACAGTGCATACTTTTAGGGCATATAAGGCGAATTGGGATGCAGCGTTCCTGTCACTCCAATTCAAATTCCAATTTAACTTCCAATTCAAAAACCAACTCTTGAACTGAAAGGGAGCAAATTCTTTCATTGTGGTAAACGTGTTAAACCAAAACATTTAATGATCAATATGTAGGGGTGGAGGATACAGTATGTAGAACGTGTGGCTGTTTGAATCCTGTTGAAATCTGTAGAGAAATCTGCAAGTGCAGGATCCATGCATGCAGACCAACTTAGAATTTATCAATTCAATGTTCAAAACCCCATCCTGATTCAACATGCAACATCCATGGAGTAAACTAAGAGGGCATGAACCAGCATCCAGCTCCTAGAAATGAAGTGCAACCCACAACAGTTCAAAATTTGCACAGGTCATTACACAGGAATCATTTGTTTGTTCATATGCCACTTACAAATAGAAAGCAAGCCAACACACTGTGAAACATGAACATTATCACACCATTTGACCATTGAATGTCAACTACTGGAAATATCACAGATCCCGGATTATCACATCTAGCAAGTAACGTGCCATATTTAATATGACATAAATCTAATCTGTATAAGTAAAATGAAAAGAATAGCCTGAGGTTATCACCAACTGTCTACTCTAGGGTCATCATGGAGTCCACAATATAAATAAATGGATAAATGTACATTTTAAGTTCTTAAAAATAATGGACCACCTGTCCACTGTGCTTGACTTTAGGTGCTCACAACCAACCTGTAGCAAACATTTTGCACTGATTCTTGCCCTTATTTTCTTTTTTACCAATCCAAACAGTCTTCCATTAAGTAACAGTAAATCTGCCCTTGTAATCCATGTGACGTCAGCTAAAATCGGTCTCCCAGCCGACGCTTTATAGGTATAGCCTTCATCCCATTATGACCAACCCCTTGTAATATTCTGCAGTAGGCTGTAGGTTTCTATGACTGAACGGTTGACATGAGCAGTCTAACCTACATAAAATTCTGTCAAAGGAAATTTAACAACCTTACATCATATAGTTACTGCATCATATAGTACACTACAATTCACAACAAATGTGCTTTCATGGCTATGCCCTTAACATTGAAACAATGATAACTATTAAAACTATTTCCTTGATTGCCACTGACAGCAAAGTAAATGTATATAAAATGGCACTGTAACTTAGTCCTCAAGCATGAATATATTATGTGAATAAAAGGAATGACATTGGGGAACATTAGGAAAAAATAGGGCTAGTTGTCACACTTTTCCATGTAAATATTTCTAATGTACCGTATATCTGACTGTCAATTTCTGTATTGGCTACAAAATAGCTATTCAACATAGCTATTTAACTATTGAGCTTAGAGGACAAAATTCATCAAATATTCTGTTTAAAGAGGTATTTGAACTATACACAGAGAAAGCACATATATTTTTAGAATTGTTTTTGATTCAAAACCTTAGATACATTCACTGTAAAAATGTTATATAAATAAATGTGAAAACACTGCACTAAAAACATGTTAATTAGTTAAATGTAAGTTATCTTAATGCATAAAGTAAAACTAATATTATGTTGATATAATAAATGACAGTATATTATAAATTGTGATATAATTTATAACAATCCATGTAATTCTTGTGATTTTGAAATGAAGTAAACAGTATGGATTACCTTAAAATTTACATAACAAATATATTTAACAAGGTAATATGAAATACACATTTACATTTAATTATTAAAATGATGTTTTGTTTATAAATAGAAAGTATGAGTAGTAGTATAAAAGTATCATAAAGTAAAATATTTTTTAAATGAATTAATCGCCTTATAATTTTTGGAAAAGAGATTGGGAACCATCACATTATTTTTATCGGTTATACACATTGAATCTACAGTGTTTTATACTGCATTTTATATTATTCAGTTAATGTTTACTGCTTTGTTTTGTGTAATGTGTAATTCCGAAAGTGTTCTGTATTGGGCAAACTATGCTCTGTCTTTATGTACTAATACCCAGTTGCTGGAAAGGCCACTTTAGATTATCTCCAAGTCATTATGGGTCGTTCCACTGTACCACCTGTGTCATTAGCTAATTGTAGCCTATACGCCAGTTCAGTAACATACAGGTTTTAAAGGCTCACATAAGTTGGTATATCAACATTATATAATTTAACGACATCTAGATGACGGATTGAATTATAAAAGTCAACAAATTGCGCACAGTGTAGCCCTTGTGACAACTTCCCAATGTGGCAAATAGCCGTCTAGTCTGCCCATATACATACTTTGCAGCAACGTTTACCACAGATGACCAGTGATCTTTATGCGTTGATCAAGCAATGCATCTTCTAGTGATAGATATTTCAAAACATCCTATCAATAACGGTTATCGTGCATGGCAACGTAGCCTATTTCATGCATAAGGCCAATACGAGGCAGACTGGGACCACAGGCTACCCCACAGTGCACCTGTAACGCAGGAACTGTCAATTGACATGTGAGATATAGGGCCTACATCACACTGGATATCATTGAGAATGAACATCCACATCTACCTCGCAAGGTCACGACAGTTCTGTAAAGGCTATAGTACGTAGCTGCTACGTCTGTTTGTCTTACCGTATATTCCCTGGCAAAAAACGCCTTCAAATAGTGCGGCCAATAACCACAGGAGAGCAAAGATAATATCCATCTTTACGTTAGTCTGAACATATCCAGCTCCTCAGGCGGCGAACAGTTGAAGGCAGTACGTGCAGTCCAAATCTCCCACCTCGCGTGGCCGTATCATCAAGAAACAGCTGAAGTAGTGTCAGTCCGAGATGTCTCACAAGTCATTTCTTGCCAATTCAATGCAGATGTTCTCACCAAATTGGTCTAGGCGGTGATATAAATATGTGACAGATAAGGAGGACGAGCATCAAACCTTCAGAGCGGGTCTCCTCCTCACACCTTCGCCGGCATTAAGCACCGACGCGGCTGGCGAAAGTAAATGACAGCGCCATGGGAAACACGCGCGCTATTAATCGGTTACGAGCGCTGGCATCCACCTCTTCGACGTTGCCAAAAGATAATACTGCGGAATTTAATGCGAAAAATAACCAATAATCGACGAGACCGCCTCTCTCATCCCTTCGTGGTTTCAAGATGCCGGTGAGGCAGAAAGGCACGCCGAAAAAAGCTGCTCCTTGATGCTGATGGGAGCGCTACTATAGTAACACTATAATTCTTCGTCTCCAGCGGATAAACAGATGAATCCGCTATTTCATTAGAGCTGTGTGGGCCAGCTTTACTTCTCGGAAGTCTTTGGTCCCGGCTTGAAAAAAAAAAAGAGAAACAATGACACACACACACACGGATTTGTCAGGTCAGGTTGCCTATATTCAGGATTAACCGTAATTTAGACTGGATGAAATGTGAAGGGTGGTCGGGCACGCTGCGCCATACGTACTGCGCTGGAACGCCGGAGCCCAGCTGGCTGACTACGTCAAAGAGCGCGTGAGTGAGTGAGTGAGTGAGCGCGCTTGGATCTCATTTGTATGAGAAGCACTCTCGCGCTGAGAACGTTCGCAGCAGAGCAACGTGAACTTCATTATAAATTAAAGGCCGCTAGTCTAAATGGTATACATGCTTTCTGACGTTTGTTCGTTCGTTTGCCTTTTTTCTCTCATTGAAACGGAAGATGATAGCTGCTATTAATTTCGCCGCTCACCCTCCTCCCTTGTCGACTTTATAACTATCAAATGAATGATTTTTCCTTCCATTATCAACCGCAACAATGCCAGTAGATGCGAGGCTATACATTCTGTTAAACATTTCACCATTAAATCAGGTGATGTTAATATGCCAATATATTCGAGCTAATACAATCTGTAAAACGAACTGATGATGATGACACAGGTGGTACAAGAGAAGGCCACGTGATGACTCACTAGCAACCGTGACCAATTATCAGATACTAAAATAAAACAGTAAACAATAACCAAACTAAAATACCACAAAATAGGCTACTCAACTGTACATAACATAATAAGAAATAAAAATGTTATGATTTTAATAGAGAATTCTGAGAATGGCCATTTTACTGTAACATTTTACAGTAACATTATGTAGGCTAATTAATAATTCACACTTTTGTTTAACTAAACAATTTACCATGTTTTAGTAATAAGTATACATATTGACTTTTTTAAACACATTTTCAAAGCAAATTTTAAATGTAAATGTCATGAGCCACTAAACTTTTATGATGGCCATTCAGTGTTTAATGAGTGTTATTTAAAACTTCCAGGCAAGCGAATGTGTGCAAGTAATATAATAAAACCTAATAAACAATACATTGTGCCACAGGGTCTTGCGTGACTGTAATCCTTGATCACAGTAGCTCCTGTTCATGCATCACCCTGATCGAATCATGCATCACCCTGATCGAATCAATGATTTTTGTGTTACCAGCCCAAATCTTTTTGATAAAAGCTGCCAGCACCATACATTATGTCCTTACATCTGTATTATCGATATGAATCATATTTACATAATATTTATATGAAATATGCAATTGAATGATCAATCGAGTGGATTACAAAATCTTAATAATACTGTCAGCTTTGTCAGGGCTTCACAGCCATAGAGGATTAGTTGGTCAACAAATTGTGTACTGTACATATACTGCCATCTTCTGGAATAAAATAAAGTTACATGAAAATACATGGTGACATGCAAAACAGCACAAATTGATTACATTTTCTATAAACATAATATTATTCTTATTAATTCGCTACTTAACATTCAAATATTGTAGCTGAATATAATTAGTGTGATTATGGCTTTAAGAACTACACAAATTAGAAATGACATAAAATGTTGTTGGTGGTCATCTAGACTTATCTGAAACATGTAATCATTTAACATATAAGTGATTGCAAATGGTGTTTAAACTGCATTATGTGAAAACACCATATAGCAATAGCATTGATGAACATGAATAGGCCAAAATATTTGTATGATATTTTTGGGTTACTTTTGCTTGACAGTCCTTATTTAATTGTCATTAAATGTAAAAGAGTGGCCAGGAAGTTCTTCAACAACCCATGGAAGAAAGTTAGTCGTACATATGATGTACAAAGATGAATGCTGCTGAGTAAATGATGACACCATTTTATTTTTTAGATCATTTTAAGAGAATAACTATTTGATTGATGTTTTCTGTTTTCACAATACCCAACCTTTATTTTGTGCTGCTCACTTAAAAAAAAAAAAAAAAAAAAAAAAAAAGACTCTCGTTTAACTCTCTTTAATTTCCTGTTCATTCCCCATTTTACATTTCCGTGTAACTGGCTACATCACTAATGACACTTACAAGGTAACAGGGAAATGTTGACAGGAAACAGGCTCTCAGAAATTCACTTCAAAATGGTGCAAATTGTATAAAAGCACAAGTTTTTGTTTTTCCAATCTATCTTTTATTACAGCTATTTGATTAACACGTTTGTATAGTCTAGTAGGATGTTGTTGCACATCTTTATTACACGTTATTAATTTTGTTAGGTTTATGTGAAGTTTTTAATGCTGTGGAATGTTAATAATCAAAAAACGGCAAACACTATCTGCAAAACTGAGGTCCAGAACTGTAAATAAAACAAGGCAAATTCAATGTTATGGCAGTTGCACTGGGTGTGACATTTGTTTTTGAAAGTCTTTTATTCTCACTAACACTACAGTAAATACAGTAAAAACTGCGAAATATTACAATTTAAAATAACCGTTTTCTTTTTTTTAAATATATTTTAAAATGTAATATATTCTTGTGATGGCAAAGTTGAATCAACTCCAGTCTTCAGTGTCACATGATCCTTCAGAAATCATTCTAATATGCTGATTTGGTGCTTAAGAAATGTTCCTTATTATTCATGTCAGTTGTACTTAGTATTTTTGTGAAAATCATGATATATATTTTTCAGGATTCAAATAAATAGAAAGTTCAAAATAACATTTATTTTAAATAGAAATCTTCTGTAACATTACATTACAAATGTCTTTACGGTCAATTTTAATAAATTAAATAAATCCATCCCTGCTGAATAAAAAGATCAATTTATTTAAAAAAATAAATACATCTTACTAACCCCACATTTATGAACAGTAGTGGAGTGAACTATATACAGTCTATACATGTTTATCTATACCAACAACAGTAAGGTTATTATTATTATTATGTTTTTTTTTTTAGTGCTGTACTGCATGGTTTCCCACTAAAGTGAATAAATAAAGCTCTTTTACTGTGTCAGGTTAATTGCTGGACTTCAGCTAAAGCTAGATACTTTACAAAGCTACACAACAGACATGACAGCTGCATGTGTGGTGTAGTCACCCATGTTATTGTTTAATTAGGGTGTGTTAGAAATGTGTGTGTCAGAGAGATGAGGCAAATTAGCGCTGGGTTAAAATTAGCCCTCGCAGTGGTGAGCTGAGATTGACGAGACAGCCGCTCGCCAGAAACCTCAGAGCTGTCCAGGTCATTATGCTGCATCACTAACTCTATCCATCCAACAACGGCAAGCTCACATAACTGCCTGTTAATGGTGAACAGTTCTGTGATCTGTGAAGCTGAGGAACCTTGATATGAGGGAGTGAATGGATGCGAACATTTCTGATACAGATCTGATTATTTTATATTTTAATGAGGTTCACTCGTTATAAGCATCCGCACACAACAACTATCCGCTCTTCTCTTTTAATTAACACTCGGTTCTTGCTTCTGAAAGGATACACACTGAGTTGTATACAACATAGGTGATGATAAGGCCTTGATGTAAGAACATTATTACCCCTTTCATGAAAAGTTCTCGGTTATTCTTGCTTTTCAGATTCACTTGGATCAATTTGATAAGCTACATCAAATGTAAATGTAGACTAGAGTATTCACAAAGAATTCCATTTAAATGTATTTTGTGTGTACACAACTTTACCAAGGTGACCTGGGAGGTAGATTAATTGAGTATGAAATTTAAGCACTGCTACTATTTCTGTGGTGATATTTTCAGCTCTGATCTGATGAAATGTGTCATTTTTGTCTTTATTTTTTTGTATTCAGACTGAGTGAATATATATGAAGTATTTTCAGAATTTAAACATATTGAACAGTGTTGGTTAAGTTACTGTAAGAAAAGTAATTCATTACTAGCTACTAATTACATCTTCAACAGTGTAATTAGATTACTGTACTAATTATTCTCTATAAGAAGTATTGCATTACTTATTACTCATTACTTTATAAAACCCATTTCAGCCTCGACCGGTTGAATACACGATAGACATGAAACTGCTCTTTTAATTCTTTCAAATAAATAATAGGCCTATAAAATTGCAGAAATTATTCTTGAACTGACTTAAGTATTAAAAGGGAGAAGGTTACATTGAAAACATACATTTTTAACATTAGATAGTCGATGGTCTATACAGTATTTTAATTCAATTACATTAGAAGAAACTGTAATTAAATAATAGAAAAAATAAGAGCAATCCCTTACTTTACTGTTTCAAGGGAAAAGTTATTAAATTACAGTAATTAATTAGTAATGCATTACAACCAATCCAGCATGGTGTTTTGTTATTGTATTATTGTAAACTACATTAAAAGTTTGGGGGTCAGTAAGATTAAAAAAAAAAAATTGTTTGAATCAGCAAGGATGCATTAAATTCATTAAAAGTGACCACAAATACATTTCTAATGTATCAAAAGATTATATTTCAAATAAATGCTGTTCTTTAAACTTACTATTGACCAATGAATCCTGAAAAAAAAGTATCCCGGTTTCTACAAATATATTAAGCATTGCAACTGTTTTCATCATTGATGATAATAATAAGAAATGTCAATCAGCATTAGAATGATTTCTGAAGGATCATGGAGTAATGATGCTGAAAATTAAGCTTAGCTATCACAGAAATAAATTACATTTGAGAATATATTAAAATAGTGAAAAGTTATGTTTAAATTGCAATAATATTTGACAATATTACTGTTTTTACTGTTTTTTTTTTTTTTTTACAAAAAAATAAGTCTCTGTGAACACGAGAGACTTGACATGGGAGATATCATGGTTATTCATTGAAACCTAATGAGATCAGAGAAACCTTCAAATCTAATGAGATTGGACTGTGATTCAAATATCCTTAACCAATTTCTCTGAGCTCCTGACAGAGACTTCATCAAGTCTACTATTGATTTTTTGATTTGCACACAACATTTAAGTGGTGAAAAGTGTTATGTTTGTGTAATGGAGCAAAGCTGGGTCATCAGTTACAGTACATTGACTGTCGAGACACGTCTTCCTTAGGAATTAAACATCTCTACAGTCAATATGTCGTTCTCCTATTATGTGGTTATAGTTTAAGTCGTTCACAGAAGAAAAAGCACCAGTGCTCTAACTCACTAGCTTGGCAGGGTTTGAGAGATCGAGTGCTGCTTGTCTGAGCAAGTCTGTCAGTTACTGTACATCTGTCACTT